CCTGGGTCAGAGAAGGGGGCCAAAGCAAATCCTCCCCAGTCCCAGTGGAGGAGAAGGCCGGAGTGCATAAACCTCTCCTCCTGCACCTTCTGGCAGGGGAACAGAGTGGAAGGGACACCGCCTTGGTCTCCTCTTTAGACCTTTCTCCACCATCCAGGGGTGTGGGCTGCACTGTGGTAACTCCAGTCAGGAGAGACACAGCCTCTTAACCCCCCCCCCCTTTTTAGGGTGACCAATATGTCCAAATTAGACCAAATGTTATCCACATTACTAATTAACATTCTGCCTATCGCAGTAGGTACTGGATTCCACTACCCTGCCAGTAGCTACCTGAGGCAGAACAAAACCAAGGGGGTGTCTGAAAGGTGGGGGCTAGTCTTTCATCAGCCATCCAGGCAGCTTTGATTCTGTCCCCTACAGCTACAGACAGGCAATGACCCATGCCAAGGACCTGTGGCTCTGGCCCTGAGAGAGCATTTGAAAATTATTATTTCCTGTTCATTGTAGCATTCGCCCTTTTTGCAAATGTCGATTCCTCCTCTGCCGCCCCATCCCTGTATTTCCACGGGGGGAGCATAGAGTCCGTTTGGATGATGACTGTTTCGTTAACAACATCTCACATTTCTTTTAGGGCCTGACTTTTTTCAGAAGTGCTGAACCCCCACAAACCCTGGCTGAAGTCAGTGGCTCTCCTGTGAACCTCAGTCCTTTTTGTCTTTGGAGGCAAATGAAATATATTGTGTCTGCTCCTCATTGGAACAACATCCGTTTACACCACCTGAGGATCTGGGCTATTCTTTCTTTTGGCCCAGCCTCATCAATTAGTGTCCCACACAATTCTCTAGTTCATTGCCCCTGCAGAAGAAGCACAAAACATGGGGCTATTGTAGGGTCTGCAAAACTGGTAGTTTGTGTATGTTGTTTAGTTCTTGGCAGTAATGTATGCGATGTATCCGATCAGGGGTTCTGAAACTTCAGTGCACTGCGACCCCCTTCTGACAATAAAAATTACTACATGACCCCAGGAGGGGGGACCAAAGCCTGAGCCTGCCCCAGTCTCACCGCCCCAGGTTGGGCATTGCGGGGGGGGAGGCCTGTAACCTGAGTCCCACCACTCATGGCCAAAGCCGAAGCCCTCGGGCATTGGCTTCAGCCAAGGGCAGTGGGGCTCAGCCTTCAGTTTCAGCCCCGGGCCTCAGCAAGTCTAAACCAGCCCTGGTGACCCCATTAAAACAGGGTCGCAACCCACTTTGGAGTCCCGACCCCCAGTTTGAGAACCGCTGTATTGGGTTATAATACATTCTTGACAGGTCAGAAATTGAGTTTAAGGACTTGACATTGACTCTTTAAAGTATTTACCTCCTACATTTGTGTGTGTGTATTTCTGCTCTCAGGGCAATGTCTGCTGTGTGGCTACACGTTGGACAATGTGGCAATCAGATTGGCGAGGAGTGGTGGCAGATCCTAACCAGGGAGAATGTGCCGCATGCAGAGGCTGATCGGTATGGTAACTCTGCAGTTCTAAGGAGGGAACCAGTTTTAAGCTACTCATGAGCCTACGCCTGCTAGTACTTGGAGTCAAATGGGTTAAGTGATCCATCCCTGCTCTTAACAGAGGGCAATCGTAGGAGTTCTTCTGCAGTCTCTGTGCAGCTGGCAGTCCTATCACAAGGCCTCATGCGGCCTTGCGGAGTGCTCCTAGCTTTATATTTCTGATAACAATAAGATCATTGTTCCAGTTCACTTTCCACAGACCATTTTAAACACAAGCATGCTGCAAGATGGGGCAGAGGGATTAATGCAGTTGATCAAAACCTTCCCTTGCTGGCCTCCGATCAAAGGCAGGCATTCCCCCTGCCAGCATGTTTGAGCCAAGGGAAGGGTATGTAAAACTCTGGGTTTAGAGTCTAAAATTCCAATATAAATATGAACAAATGTAACTGTTGCTACCCTTGAAACTGCCCTGAGAATACCCCTGGAACTGCACTGAGCACTCCTGGGGGAATTCTGCGCCACTGCACATGTGCAGAATTTATGTCTCCCGCAGATTTCTTTGCTTCCCTGCAGAAAAATGACTTTCTGATGGGGAAGCAAAGGGGAGCCATAAGAGCAGTCATGCAACTCTCCCCAGCAGTATGTTTTGGGTGCCCAGAGAAGCTGGCAGAGAGGTAAATCACTGTGGGGCAGGGGGTGGGACTGGGGAAGACCCAGCTGGTGGCTCCTACCCTGCGCCAGGCACAGCTGCTAGCGGGACTTCCTCTACCCCTGCACAGCATCCGGGACCGTGTCAAACCCACCCCCAGACTTCTCCCCCAGCAGCAGGAAGCTCTGCAAACTCCCCTCCCCCCCCCCAGCTTCCTGCACCGATCGCTCCTCAGCTGCAGGGGGAGGGATCCCTGTACAGGGAGCTGTTTTCCCCCATCCACCCAACCCCCATGCAACCAGACCCCCTCAGACCCTTCCACCGAGCCTCACCCCTCTGCACTCAGAACCCCCATTCCCAAGGAGCCTCACTCCCCCTACACCTCAACCACCCCGACAAGCCACCCTCACCCAGATCTTCACCCCACTGAGCCCCACTCCCCCAGCATCTGGACCCCCCCTGAGCCTCCCACACCCAGACCCCCCTGCTGAGTTCTATCTGCCTCACACCCAGACACCCCCCCCCGCTGAACCCCAACCACCTTCACCTGGACCCCTGCAGAGTCCCAGTCCCCCTGCACCCAGAACCCCCCATCAAGGCCCTGTGCATCCAGATCCCCCTGCACCCAGATCCCCCACTGAGCCGCCCGCACCCAGATTGCCCCACACAGAACCCTCTCAGCCCACACCTGGATCCCCCTCCCTAAGCCCCTCCACACTTGGATCCTGCCTTGCTGAGCCTGCCTGCTCACACCTGGTGCACCTGGCACAGGGGCAGGCCCTGGGGTGTTTCTGGGGCAGGCCCAGTCCTTGTGCTGCGTCAGGGTTGGGTGCAGCCTCACCGCTGAGTCCGTGTCCCAGGATGGGAGCTGCTCAGTGATCTCCCACCTCTGTGCAGCCAGTGGCCGGTGCTCCCCAATGCCATGCTGGAGCCTCCACATTTATTTAACAAATAAATTTTGCAGAATTTTTAATTTTTTGGCGCAGAAATTTTTAATTCTTTGGTGCGGAATGCCCTCAGGAGTAACTGAGAAGTAACAGCTGCCTCGAAAAGAGAGCTGGAGAAGATCTAGTAGGTCATCCAGCCCATCTTCCCAGGGCAGGGCAGGACTGTTCCCTGAGTTCCGGAAGGATTTGCTGTGGGGATCAGAGTTGGTGGGAGCCCCCTTGCCGTGTATTTACCCAGTCGCCTTCAGGAATGGATGCTCTTGAACTCCTATGCTGAGCACCCTGCTAGGTGGAGTCCAGGTCAGGCTTCAGGGAAGAGGGCTTCCCATACACACAGCTCGTGTCCTTTTCAGACATCCATTCTGCTCCCCCGATGGAAAGCTAAGCGCTACCTGCGTGGACAGCGAACCCAAAGTGGTGAGGAAGCTGCAGAAACACGTCAAGAGCGGGTAGGAGAACAGGGGCTTGTCTCATTCGTTGGAAACCCAGGCTGAATGCCCCCTTTAGGGTTATGTGCGCCTGGTGGGAGCATAGAGGTTGCAGGGAGCTGGGTTGCATCACACACACACACCCCTTGTACGTCCCTGGGGCAAGGAGCCAAGGGGAGTCTAGGCCTCTGTTTGCTTCCCCCTGCCTCGCAACAGAATCTTCTGGGCTCCCCCTTGTCAAGTTGGTAAAACTGCTCAAGAGTCGTGTGTGAAATGCTCAGTGTGACTGTCCTCTGCGCAGACTAGATCCTAACTCCTCTCCCAGCTCTTTCAGGGAGAACAATCTTATCGTGGGGAAGCGAGGAAGAGGCAACAACTGGGCTTATGGTGAGTGTCCATCTTTCAGTGCCCCCTAGATGAACTGTTCTGGGTGTGGACGATGTCCATCAAGGTTTGGAAAAAAATATGTATTTGCAGTGCAGCGCTTAGCCACCTGCTTCCTGAGGAAAGGCCGCTCCTCCCTCACACCTGCGGCTGCGACGTACGGGCGCCATTGTGCTCGGCTGGAAGCAACGGCAAGGAAAGCTACTCCTCTCTCGTGATCGCTCGACAGATTCGGCTGCTGGTGTGCAGAGACCACAGCCTATCAGTGTTGTCTCATTGCTTCCTTGTACTCCCATGTCCTCTGTCTGGGTCGAGCTCTTGTCTTGTACTTCAGTTGTGAGCTGCTTTTGTCAGCGACTGTCGTCTTGTTCTGTTTGTGTGGTGCCTACCACAATGGGGTCTTGGTCCATGGCTGGAGCTCCTACATGTTATGATGATAAGGCTGTAAAAGCCTTACTGCCACGGCTAGCGAATGGAAATTCTCCTTTAGCGCTCTGATAAAATGACAGTCATCCCACATCCTCCATCAGCAAAACAAGACGGGTGAGACCCTCAACCGATATCAGTTAGCCCTGCTCCAGTGATGTCTATTACGAAGATGTCTCTTTCCCTAGTCTTGTATTATCCAGCGTGTAGCACTGTTTGGCTTTAATAATGTCACAGATCCACAGGGCCCAGTCTAGGCCCCAGCCTGTCTCCAGTCCCTTGGGAGTGACCCCTCTTGTGTGCTGGGCCCCAAGGACCTACACAGTTCCACAGGGCAGGCCTGTGACCTCCAGGACTCCAAAACTGGGCCTTCAAGTGCCAACCAACCATGCCCCTTTCCATGGCTCCCTCCAGCAAAGCCAGACTCCAGCAGTGGGCTTGTCCTGTACCCCATGCTCCCAGTGAGTATTTGCGGGGACACCAGGCAGCCTCTTCAGAACCAGGTCACGCCGTATTAGTCACCTGGCCTACAGACTCTGAAAGTCCTTAGGTCAGCCTAGAAAAGCAAAGGCTAAGGCAGCATCAGGCTCTTCCAGGCAAGCTGCTGCAGAATCCATTTTTGCCCTGTCTCTTTCTCTCTGTTTTGTCTCCATTTCCTACTGTGCACGCAGTATTTCTGTGAGCTCAGCTCTTTACGCAATCACCTGACACCGTTTTCCCCCTTTGTTCTCCCACTCGGGGGGCAGGGGGGCTTTGCTCTGCTTCCTGGGGGGATGGGCAGGGGGAGACTCTGCTTCTGCTTGGCCGTGGTCACTAAATGTGATTGTCCTGGCTCTTGGGGTTTCCAGTCCCTCTTTGGATCCTCCATTCACCTGTGCCGATTTTGTTCAGTTTATTATGACTCTAGTTTCCAACCAGGCTGCTGGGTCAACCCTTCATCCCTTCCCTTTGCACTCAGTGCATGGCAATGCAAAGCCCAGAGGGAAACTGAGGCACACCTAGGCATCAAAAATATTCCCACCAGGCCCACATCCATCACAAACAGTAATAAAAAGGCCCTTTTCAGCCCACAGACAAAGCAGCCCTTCCTCTACCTCCTTGGAGGTTGCTTCTCCTCTCTTGCCCACAATTTATAGAGCCCCCCCCCCTTTTTTTAATCACAAGCCTCCGTATTGGGCTTTCAGCCCCCTTGCCCCACCCATCTCCACCTACAGATCTGCGGTCAAAGCTAGCCCCTTCCCTGCTCGTGTTCCAGTATCCTGGCAGCCCTGTGTTTTGGGAGGGCCAGGCTTCTGTTCTGTCCCTGGAGCTGCATGGCCGCGGTAGAGCAGATGCTCTTGATGCGTGCACACAGGACCTGGATTCGCCACGCTAGGAGGTAGCTGGAGCTGAGCCTCCTGAACGTGTGGAAATAAATTAGGGTGACCAGATGTCCCAATTTTATAGGGACAGTCCCGATTTTTGGGTCGTTTTCTTATATAGGCTCCTATTACCCCCCTCCCCCTGTCCTGATTTTTCACATTTGCTGTCTGGTCCCCCTAAAACAGATCCATCTGCTCACACTGCATGTTGCTTGGTGCATGGCAATAGGGGTGGGGGGCCAGGGTGGCTTTAGGCTCCTCTGATCCTGGGGCCAATGCACCCCTGTGTGTAAACTCCTGGTGTAAACCAGAGAAGCCTGAAGTGGTGTGTATGCGCTGTCTGGCCTTCACTCATCCTGCATTGGAAACAGCTGTTGCTCTGCTGAGATTAGTTTAGACCCAGTGACACGCAGAAGGATTCAGATGCAGACGATATGCCCTCAGTGCAGAGATGAATGAGGGGTTGAATCCTAAAGAAACCCCTTAAGTCGTGTGACCCTGCAGCATGGATCGGTCTGAGTGCCGATGGCTGAGATGAGCTCACCTTGGCCTCTAAATGGTTTAATGTTGACAGGATACCACGGCCCGCACTCAGCCAGCGAGAAGAACCTCCGAGAAAGGACGATGGAGAGTCTGCGGAAGGAGGTCGAGCGCAGAGACTGTTACTGTGGGACGGTGCTTTTCCATAGCCTCAGTGGTGGTACAGGAGCTGGTGTGTAGGGACTTTGCCCTTGCAATTGGTTTTATGTGGAAGGTGCTCGGATACTTCATGGATGGAGGGCTAGGTAGATGTTGTGATGGGAAAACAAGAGAACTTATATTATTTCAGTAGGTCCTCCCAGGTTATTTCACATTTCCCTCCATGTGCACCATACAAACTTCCTTCCAACCAGAAGCCTGCTTTCCACAGGTGCAATCGGGGGGAGATGGCAGGTAACTGTGAAGCAAATTTAGCTGGATTACATTTGCCATCACATTTTCACTGTTACTCTTGTGGTGTTTCATTGTTACTTGCAGCGTATTTGGTACTCTGTACCTTTCATGAAAGTGGTTTTCCAAAGGACTCTGCCATACAAAGCAAACCCACCCACCCCCACTAGAAGCTAATGCTGCCTACGTGTACCTAAGGTGGTAGAAGAAAAATGGTATTAATTAGAATGAATAACTGGAGAAATATTAGGTAAACCATAACAATTAGGCAAGCACTCATGGGGGCAGAGTTAAGGTTGTACATGCAACTGTCACTTCCTGGATGTTGAGTGTTTAACAGGCAACATTAACATTTTTAACATAGTTTATTGATGAAATTTCTAAGGGTTTTTTTATTTACAGAAAAAGGATAGGAAAAAAATCTATAATATGGAGATATTTGGTTAGGCCATTCTGATGGTTTCTATCTCCTTATGCAGCATTTGCAAGAGGTGCAGTGAAGAAGGCAGGAACTCCGATAGAGCCTGCCTCATTTGCTGAGGGCTTTCACTACATTTTTTTTTTTTTCTCTGCACAGCTCAGTGAGTTTGACATTTGTGCGCAGCTTAATCTGCCTCTGTGAGATCAGCTAGAGGATGTTTCAAGAATTTTTTTTGATAATGAGGAAAGTGTATTTTTCCCCACTCTCCTCTCACTCAAAAGTGGCCCGACCATTATTGGTCAAACTTGCCAGAAAAATTCACTGCCAGGAAGAGAACAATCCTGGAAGATTTCAGCAGGAAAGATGCAAGTTCCTGAAAGTTCTATTTATACACACACCCACAACTGAAAACAGGGGGTTAGAATGGAAATGCTTATGCCACCTTAACTATAATAGTTGCTACTATTCTAATACACAATCAGCTCTTAACTAGCACCATGCAGTGAGCACCTCCTTGTGGCCACCGGTGGGTATTATTATTGCACATAGAGACCCCAATCCAAATCTGGGCCTGCTGGGCTAGGCACCAACCCCAAACAGCTTACAGTCCAAACAGACAAGGCAAAGGAAGGGTGGGCAGGGAAACTGAGGCACAGAGCTGAATTGACTTGCTTGGGGTTACACAGTGGGTTAGTGGCTGAGCTGGGACTAGCATCCAGGGCTCCTGGCTCCCAGTTCCCATTGGAACACACTGCCTCTCAGGCACGTATGGATGAGACCAGCATCGTGATTGCTAGAGCTCTCTGCCCTAGGCCAGGCCGATCACATTTCTGAACAGGTTTGGGGGCTTTTTCCCACGTAGGCCTCGGTTCCCGGCTGTGTGAAGCGATCCGAGACGAGTACTCCCTGGGTCAGATCCTGTCGGTGACGGTAGCCCCGCACCAGGCTGGCGAGAGCCCTCTGCAGCACTACAACTCCTTGCTGTGCCTTTCGTGGCTCCAGCGGTACGTTCCTGTGGGCCGTGGGAGCTGGGCCGTGACCATAGGTCAGCAGCAAATGGTGGTGCTACGAGCCGGACGCTGATCACCATTCACTAGGGTGGTTCCCGCAGTGTGGAGCAAAAGCCCGCTCTCTGCTCCCGAAGAGCTCGCTGTCTGAGAAATACAGAATACAAGACCTATTGCCTAGTAGGCAACTATGGAATAACCTCCACTAAGTTACCCTGCTTTTCCTGGCAGGCGCTCTCGATGACTGGCTGTCACGGCTGGGCAGTCTGATCTGGGGGTGGAGCAGCAGTCGGGAGCCAGCAGGCAGGCTGGGTCTGCATACCAGGAGATCAGAGTCCGAGATGGGCCAGAGGGCACGCTGGGAGTGAGGGTCAGGGTACCAGGAGGTCAGAGTCAGGCAGCAGGAGCAGGTAGCGCAGGGCAGGCCAGCCGTCCTAAGCAGGGAAAATCCAGTTACACAGACAACTTCCTGTTCCTCTGCTTGGTTTAAACAGTGGCAGGGGACCAATCAGGACCCTCAGGGTTTTGCCAGTCAGAGCTCAGACCGGGAGTCCTCTGCCAAAGTCGAGTTTCAAGTTGTGGCAACTCCTAGCAGATCATGGGGTGGTAGGTTGGAACGTAGTGGCTTCTAAGGGCCCTGTGGACCGGGGTTTGAGACCTGCAGCCCCTGATGCTGGAGTGACTGGTACGATTAGACGAGGGAAGTTGTGGGCGAAGACTGGGCGAGGGAAGTTTTGGCACTACTGCTGAGATGGGGGGATGGTCGCAGGTGTAAGGCGCTGGCCTGGCACTTAGGAGAGCTGGGTTCAGTTCCCCCGTCTCCTACGGATTGCCTGGGTGGCCTTGGGCAAGTCACGCCGTCTCAATCACACCACCTTTCCCCAGCCCTTTGTCCTGCCTCTTTAGCTTTCAAGCAGGGGCTGTCTCTCGCTGTGTGTCTGTACAGCGCCTAGCACAATGAGGCCTGATCTTGGCTGGGACCCATAAGCACTCCACTAATACAAATGAATGGGGTTTCACTCACATGGTCAGCTGATGTAGCCCTGGAATGAGCTGTGAGGACTTGCTCAGTCCTGATCCAGGCAGAAGTTCCACCAACTTCCGTGAGATTCCTGCCTAAGGACTTGTGGCTGAGATCCTAACTCCAAAGGAACAATGACTCCATTTTATGTCTGTCTAGACATGTCGCCGGCGTCCTCCTGTTCCAGAACGATGCCGTGCTGAGGAGGACGGCAGCCCTGCTTGGGAAGAAAGCGCCAGTGTCTGACATGCAGCCTCAGGTCTCCCTCTCCGCCATGAACACCTACGTCGCTTCCTGCCTTGCTGGGCTGCTTTACCCGCTCAAGGCTTTCACGACAGGAAGGTGAACCGAGCAGATATTTGTCTTCTTTGCAACAGCTGTTGGTGCTCTGCAGATGACACTAGACGTACTGCAGTCCACAGCTGGTAATTGGCATAACTCTATCAAGTACAACAGAGCTGTGCCAGTATTCACCATCGGAGGATCTGGCCCATAAAATCTAGTGCATAGAAAGCTTTAGTCGAATCTTTTGGCATGGAGGCAGAGGCGCCGACTTCTTCTGGCGCCAGTGGGTGCTCAACCCTCCTCTGCCCCTAGCCCTGTCCTGACTCCACCTCTGCCCCGCCCCTTCCCGCCCCCATTCCAACCCCTTCCCCAAATCCCTGCCCCGGCCCTGCCTCTTCCCCGCCTCCTCCCCTGAGCGTGCCACATTCCCGCTCCTCCGCCCTCCCTCCCAGGTCTTGCTACAGCTGTTTGGCAGCGGCAAGCGCTGGGAGGGAGGAGGAGCGGAGATGCAGCGCGCTGGGAGGAGGTGGAGGAGGAGGTGAGGCGGGGGGCGGGGAGCTTGGCTGCCGGTGGGTGCAAAGCACCCACTAATTTTTCCCCGTGGGTGCTCCAGCCCCGGAGCACCCACGGAGTCGGTGCCTGTGCATGGAGGCAAAAACTCCTAAGTGCAGTCAAAATATTCCCAGTGTGCGAACGGAGGGACCAAGGGAGCATAGATAATTGAACATAGAAAGCAAAAGCAGCATGCATGAGTCCTTTACATCCAAAGACCTTATTAATAAACTCAGCAATAGCTAACTGGATATTACAGGATAACTAGCCTGCAACTCTCCCTGGAAACCGAGAAGGCTAGCAAGGTTGTCTAGGGTGACCAGACAGCAAGTGTGAAAAATTGGGACAGGAGATTGGGGGGGGGGGGGGGAGTGGTGTAATAGGAGCCTATATAAGAAAAAGACCCAAAAATCGGGACTGTCCCTATAAAATCAGGACATCGGGTCACCCTATCTGTGTCTGAGTGGGGCAGTAAAGAGGTTCTGAGAGAGAAGGCTGCACTACTCAGTAGCTGCTTAAGTATCACGGTGGTGGTGGTAGATGACTGTATGCCTCTCCCTTGCTTTTCAGTGGGATCAGCATGGGGATGGAACCGTGGGAGCTGCTGAGGTCTGTCTGCCCCATGACGACTATGAAATTCCTTCACATAGCTCAAGCCTGCAAGAGGTAGGAATGGGGCCTGTCCCACCACTTGAAGAGCGATTCTGAGCCTCTCCGATGAGTCTAATATTCTCACTCTCATTGTCCAGGTCAGTTCGTAGCCCAGCAGCTAATTTAAGAGACCAATACAAGACTGCTGTGGAGTCTTAAACCTGATGGGGGGCCACATTTTAAGTACAGAATCCTGCACAGTAGGTTTGAGCAGAGCCCGTGACGCTCTGAAACTCCTGTGACATCCCAGTGTCTGAGCCTGGCCTGTGAGGATCAGGGGCAGCTTGTGATGGGCTGCTTGTGATGGGCCGCTTGCAGGAGGGAGATTGTAAGTGGCTCGTTCACAAACACACACTGCACAAAGAACAGGAGTTCTTGTGGCACCCTAGAGACTAACACATTTATTTGAGCATAAGCTTTCGTGGGCTAAAATCCGCTTCAAAAGTTCACGTTGCTGCTGCCCCTGGAGGCCGTCTCCATTTTATCACGAGTCTTGTGATAGCTGGGGTTATTCTTAAAGCCCCCGCTCCTGGAAACACGTCGTTGTATGAGAATCTCCGTTTTCAGGCTTGGAAATGGTAAATTTCTAGGCTCATGGTTCTGGAGAAAAGTTTGGAAATATGAACCTTATGGGCTCAGAAACAGCAAGCAAAGAAAAAGCCAACGTTGATTATTTGTTTAGCTTTAAATTCATGAGATTAAAAAAGTCTCATGATTGTTTTTTGGCTTGTCTACACGTACAATGGTCATAGGTGCCGACTCCGTGGGTGCTCTGTGGCTGGAGCACCCACGGGGAAAAATTAGCAGCCAAGCTCCCCTCACCCCCCGCCCCACCTCCTCCTCCTCCTCCCCTGAGCGCACCGCGTCCCTGCTCCTCCGCCCACCTCCCAGCGTTTCCCGCCCAGCCACCGCCAAACAGCTGTTTGGCAGCGTTTGCATGCTCTGGGAGGGAGGGGGAGAAGCAGGAACATGGCGCAGTCAGGGGAGGAGCGGGGCCGGGGCGGGGATTTGGGGAAGGAGTTGGAATAGGGGCAGGGAGGGGGCAGAGTTGGGGTGGGGACTTTGGGGAAGGGGTTGGAATGGGGGCGGGTCCTCATGGAAGGGGTGGAGTGGGGGCGAGGCCAGGAGCAGAGTGGGGGTCATACATGCAGGGGAAGTCGGTGCCTATGACAGCGATGCTGCTGCAGCAGTTCTGCAGTGGAGACATAGCCGGACTCCCCCTCACTTGGGGCTGGCGAGACGGCAGGTGCACCGCTGCCCTGCTAACACAGCTTGGCAGAAAATGCCTTTCACCCGCCAGGGAGTCAAAGCAGCAACGATTTGACCCTGCCCCTGAGTGAGGTCAAGGCTGAGTGGGGACCCATTTAATTTCTAATGGGCTTGGGCCACTTTTATCTCCCCTTTGTTTGGAAATTAAATGCAAAAAATAAAGTTCTTCTTTGCATGATTACACAGGTGCATTCCACCCATGGTGTCTGCGCACCCAGCGCACGGCCATTGGACATTTTTTCCACTCCACGGTACCTGCTGGGCGGCTTGATTGTGTGAGAAGGGATTGAGACCCATGCAGTGTGGGAGAGTTCACATTGCTGCGGTCCCTGATGCGCTGGTGTTACTGTCACACTGCACGGATGCAGCTGTTTGTGTTTTTTTTATTGGAGGTCTGTCCATGGACTTACCTTAGTCAGACTAAGCTCAGGCTCTGCCCCCTAGTTTTCAGTGAAACCGACACGTTAGTTTTCACTGTAGCTCCTGGTGAATTTGGTTTGTTTCTCATTTCCCAGGGGGACGGTATTTTGGGACAGCTTGGCATCGTCTGTTGTGCACTCATTGCCCCGTGAGTCTCACGCAGGACAGCCCGTATCCTCTCTCTACAAGCGCCGCGTCTTCCAAATGTGCCTGAGCTGGGGACTCGGGTGGAGGAAGAGAGAGAACACCAGCGAGATAGACAAGTTCCCTTTTACCTGCCTCTGACTTGAGCCAACAGGCCCTTGGAAAGCCCTGTAGTAGTGCTCCATGCGCCTTGGCTGGGGCAGGGAGAAGAGAGAAAGCTAAACCAGTTGTCTTCTAGTTTATTCCTTGCAGCCTTCAAGATGAGATACAGGGTCAGCAAGATTACACATTCCAAAACATCCAGCTAACTACAGGGGCGAACCCTCCCTCTGTTCATCCGCCTTGAAATCCATTTGGAAACCTCTAGATGTAAATGCAGTCCAGGATGGGACCTCTGGGCACCCAGAAGTTTGCCTGGGGGACTGGTCTCTTTAAAAGTCTGATCTGCTGAGAAGGCAGAGTTGTGAGCTTGTCCCTCCCATACCTATTGTTGTCTGTATTACGGGTATCAGCTAGAGCAGCAGTTCTCAAACTGTGAGTCGGGACCCTAAAGTGGGGTCACCAAGGGCTGGCATTAGCTTTGCTGGGGTCCAGAGCCTAAGCCCAAGCCCCACAGCCCAGGCTTCAGCCCTGAGTGTGTGGGGGGCTCAGGTTACAGGCCCCCCTCCTAGGGCCAAAGTCCTTGGGATTCAGCTTTGGCCCCTCTCCCGAGGCAGTGGGGTTCAGGCGGACTCAGGCTTCGGTCCCCCCTCATGGCGTCGTGTAGCAACTTTTGTTGTCAGAAGGGGGTCCTGGTGCAATGACATTTGAGAACCTCTAAGCTAGAGGGCCCCAACCAAGGCAGAGGACCTGTTATGCCAGGCACTGTACAGACACCTAGCAGGTCCTGAGAAGCTGACTGTCTAGCAAGACAAAGGGCGGGAGGAAAGGAGTATTATTGTCCCCATCATACAGGTGGTGGTATGGACACTGCCTTCACCCCATCCCACTGAGGCACCAAAAGGGGAAAGTGACTTGCCCAAGGTCACCAGCAGAGCCAGGAATAGAACGCTGGTGTCCTGAGTCCCAGTCCACTGCTCGAGCCAGCAGGCCACACGAGTCCATTGGCTTCCCCCTCCCCACACAACTAGATTTGGGATCAAAATGTCCCTCAGATTCAAACCCCACTTGGCAACTCTAGGGTGGGAAGTGTTCAAGATGGGACCAGGAGAACTCTTCCCCACCGGCTGGGGGAGAGCTCTGAAGGTCTTCCCTGGATCTGCTTTGCCCTTAGCTTGCCTTGTTTGCAGCATTGTAGCGCCTCTGTGCTCGCTGTAGCCCGCAGCTACCAAGAGGACACCTTTCTTCTGTCCCGTGACTCGGTGCTGAGGAAGTTGAAGCAAGCTTACCGCTGCGTTCCTTGGAACCCCTTCCCTCTCAGCTGCTGGACAGGTCAGTCTCGCTGGGCCCTCTTCTGTGCATATTGCTGCTGGGGATATGGGACAGACTGACAAATGCAGCCAGTCTGCAAAGGTCAGACCAGAGCGTCACACATTCCTTGTGTTCAAGAGAGGTTTTCTTTGCTTTGGAGAAAAGGTCACAGGCCGGGGAGGCGTCTGAAAACCTGCATAGACTTCAAGTCCATTGAACTCACTGCTGGTCTTGTCTAAGCACTTGCATCTCACCCACCACCATAGCATCTGAGCCCCTCAGAAACTCACTTTCATTTATCCCGACAGATGCATAACAAAGGACGGTTCTCCATTTTACAGAAAGGGAAGGGAGACCCACAGAGATTAAGGGACTTGCCCAAGGTCCCACAGGAAGTCTGTAGCAGAGCCAGAAACTGGGCCTAGGTCTCCTGAATCCCAGACCTTAACCACAAGGCCATCCTTCTGTTGGTACATGAGGAACCAATTCAAGCCTGGTGGGAGCAGAAACATTGACTTCAGTGGAGCTACCTCCACATATCCCAGGACTGAATTCAGCTCGAGGTCATTGTGGGTATGTCTACACAGCAACTAGATACCTGCGGCTGGCCCGCTGCTGTGGAGACATTCACTGAGAATCTCTACTGTGCCCAGCCTACCTGGGTGGGCTATGTAGGAAGGCAGAATGTAATGAGCCAGGTTGAAGCTAACATCCCCACTCGCTCTAAGGGAGCCAGGGGCTATTTGATCCTTGAGGACTGGCCAGTGTCCGAGTGGCTAGAAGCCAGCCTGGGGAAGCAGGTTTCAGCAGGGGCTAAGGGCAGGGGGAGGACGCTGGCAGTGAGGGGAAGGGTCCATGCAGGTGGAAGGGTGGAGGTGAGGGACAGAGATGTGGGAGGGCTCTGATTTGGGGGGGAGGGAGGTGGGATGGGCAATATCTGGTTGGAGCGAGCTGAGGCAGGAAGGAGAAGTAGAGTATCACCTCGTCGACACAAGGCAGCTCACGTCAGCCTAACTCTGTAAGCGTCTACACTCCAACTGCCCGCCCGCCGCCGTAACTCGCCCTCTACGCTGACTTAACTCCACCTCCGCGAGAGGTGTAGCACTTTGGTCAATGTAGTTAGGTCGACACAGTCTCACTCTAGATCAATGGTCTCCAACCTTTTTATGCCCACGATCAGTTTTTGAATTTAAGGGCAACCCAGGATCTACCCCGCCCCTTCCCCAAAACCCCACCCCACTCACTCCATCCCCTCCTCTCTCCCTCACTTGCTCTCCCACACCCTCACTCACTTTCACTGGGCTGGGGCAGGGGTTGGGGTTCGGGCAGGGGTGCGGGGTGCTGGCTCTGGGAAGGGGCTCAGGGCTGGGGCAGGGGCTTGAGGTGCAGGTGGGGGTTTGGGATGCAGGAGAGGGTACGGGTGCTGGCTCCGGGAGAGGGCTCAGGGCTGGGGTGCGGCCTCCCCCTGGGTAGCACTTAGCCTCCCACCAATGGAAGTAAGGCAGGCTCCCTGCCTGCCACTCCTGGAAGGGGCCAACATGCCCCTGCAGCCCCTGGGTGGGGGGGGCACGTGGCTCCACACGCTGCCCCTCTCTGCAGGCGCTGCCCCTCTCTGCAGGCACCACCCCCAAAGCTCCCATTGGCCACAGTTCCCTGTTCCCGGCCAATGGGAGCTGCAGGGGTGGTGCTTGCAGGCAGGAGCAGCATGCAGAGACCCCTGCCCCCCGAGAGTGGCATGGAACTGCGGCAGGCAGCCCCACTGCACCATCGTGGTCGGAGCTCATGATCGACTGGGAGAGTGCCCAGGAGTGCCCAGTTGATAGCGATCGACGGGTTGGTGACCACTGCTCTAGATACGGTGTTGCTTACGTCCCCTGTTGCTGCTTTTCAGAAGCCGTCCGGCAGTGCCCCACACTGACAGTCTCCTGGTGGGGATGCGCACCACTGACACAAGGAGCGTAGAGTGGACATGCAGAAGCAATTTCATGACTGCAGGTGGCCGTACAGCAACACAGCTTAGGTCAACTTCACTTTGTAGCGTAGACTTGGCCTCAGATTCCTCGGGAGTCTCTCAGTGTAGCTCACTGCCACTCAATCCACGCATCCTTGGGGCTCGAAGAGTTAATAGCCATGAGTGGCTCAGGCCTTTGTTTTATGGCTCAGCAGGCAGGGATCTCTAGCTGCCTGGTGCCCCCAGCATTGTGCTGAAGCACTAGATCATGACTGACCCAAAGAGCGGTGTCACCAGCACCTCCCCTCCAGCTCTCCCAGGGCTGGGGGCAAGCTGGGCCCTCTAGTTCATTCTGTAGCTTCCCCAAGAATGTGGGGACTCCAGATCCTTGGTCCATTCCATAGTGAGGTGCTCAGGAGAGGGAGAGGCGGACAGAACTAGTTGGTGCTGCTGGCTTTGGGGCGCTTCTCTCCGTAACGAAGGCAGCCCAGTCCTGGCCGCAGCACCCTCGCTAGTGCAGTCCTGGGACCCTGCTGAGCAGAGACACCAGGAGCATTGTCGAGTCTCCCACATTTGGAGGGAGGTGACCTCAGATTCATTGGCTCATCCCTCAAACCTCCTCATTTGGAAGGTGCACAGGCCCCTCGCACCCAAACGATGCAGTTGTGGGAGGGATTGGAAGGGAGAAATGAAGGAGGGAGGGGACAGGGGGAAGAGATTGGGGCAAAATGGGAAAGGAGGGAGAAAAGGCAGCAAAACTGAAAGCAAAACCAGGTAGGAGCTGCAGTGACCCTTGTGGGGGAAGGCTCCTTCCTTCTGACTCAGCTGTCCATCAAACCGATGGACAAAGGCAGACCCAGCAGCAGGGACTACAGCTGCAGAAACCTCTGAATCCGTGTATTCATTATTAGGAGTGTTCCCGTAGCCTCTAGTCACAGACCAGGAGCCCATTGTGCTAGGGGCTGTACAAACACAGACCAGCCCTCAGCGCGACGCTGGGAAGAACCAGCAGGGAATTGCACACTTAGAAGCAGGGTCATTAGTCTTTTATTTATAATGTTTCATATAGACACACAAATCAGTAACTCCAGGTTAAGGGAGAGAGCGGAATGCTGCATACACCTTTGCCTTGTTGCGTTAGCCAAGCGTGTGAAACAGGCGCAGCGCAATCAGTCCCCTGCTCAATACACTTCTTGAGGCCCTTGTCCGATAGCGACTGAGGAGCAGTGAGTGGGGTGCTCATGCTGAGATTCCTCTCGGACTGTCCTCGGCTCTGAGGTGGGGCTAGTGGAGTTGCGTTTAAAGGGCCAATTTACCCCGCAGCTTTCACGGGAGGATCTCCCCTACTTTACACCCGTTAATGAAGCATCACACCACTCCAACGAGGGAAGTCTGATCCCCGCTTTAATGAGAGGGAGGTAGAGGAGTGGCTTGTACCCGGTCCCAGGGTGACTGTTTATTTCAGGGGAGCGGGATAAGGCCCTGGAAGATTTCACGTGTGCGTATTATTAGAAATCAGGCTCTTATATAATTCCACTCTGCACTTTGCTGCAAGACTAACGTTAGGAAGAGTTCTCACCTGCGCAGTAGTAGACCGGAACTTCAGTTTAGTTTAGCTAGGCTAGATGTTTAGAATGCAGAGGGCTTTCCCCCTCCAGGAATGAGGTAGGTGCCATATGTCCCTTGTAACCCTTTCCGGGTGGGAGAAGACCTCTCGGGAACACGTCACTTGTGAAGGGTTAATATGTCTGAGTGAAGAGATGACTTTCCGTCCCACAGACTCTCTCAACATCGTGGAGCCCGGATGTCACAGCCACTCGCTGACCATCTGCGCCAACCACGGCAGCTCAGCGGAACTCCTGCAGCAGGTGGTAGCCAGAGCAGAGGCCATGTACAAGACCAACGCCTACCTCCACTGGTACTGGCGATACGGCTGCGAGGAGGCGGATTTCCAGCAGGCCTTCGAGACGCTCTGCTCAGTGGCAGATGATTACAGCCGGCTGGGAGAATAACACTGTCTGCTTTGGCACTTCCAGGCTGCTGGCTGTCAGCCTTCCTCCTGAGAGCCCGGAGAACCTCCAGGAAAGATCGTGCCAAGGTCTCTGGGAAAGGGGTGGTTCTGCATTGAGGGGGATGCTGCTTTAAATCAATACTGTGACACAACACCAGGCAAATAGAATCGCTTCTCAGCTGGTGGGGTGTGAGTGTGTGCAAAACAGACTGTGGGCTCGACTGTCTCTTGGTCCATGGGCCCATGCAGGGGTGATAGGGAGAGTAAGATCCCTTTGTGCCCCTGCACAGGCTACCCAGACCTTGTATAGAGGAATAAGGGGGTGAACCAACCCCACCCAATGAGTAGATGGGTGGGGAAGGGCTCCCACCCGCCCAGGGCCAGCCAGCATCGCAGGGGTAGTAATTTACTGTTGGTTTGGATTAGCAGCAAGTTGGTATGCCCTGGAACAAAGGGGAGTCGTAGAGGAATCATGCCTTTGCTTCTGGAGGACAGAGGGCATGTGGCAAGGCCACCAAGAAAGCCTATACACGTACCACCCGGACATGCCTTGCCTCAGAAGATCTCGCCCACTTTGGGATGGTGACATAAGGCTCTTGGGGATCTAGGGTATGGGTCCTTCTCCTTAGCGTTGAGCTAAAGCCAAATCCTACTTACCTTCCATAGAGGGGGAGCCACCCTGCATGACAAAGGGGAACAGGTTTTGGTCCCTAATCTGGTCCCTGGAAAACCAGAGGCAGCTAAAGCTACGAACAGGCAGGGTTACAAAGCAGAGAGATTGAGCAGGTAATTAGAGGGCTGAACAAAACCCTGAGCAGATTTATTCAGGGAGAAGACTACACACTAGTAAAGACCTGACTCATCTCCACTTGTACAGCCAGGCAAGAGACGCGGTTACAACGTGGTTGCAATTTGGCCTGTAGACAGGACCTCAGATGTTCCTTAACCAGGCTAAAGCCTTGGACACGTTCCATAGGCAATGTTTGGGGACAGGCAGGGGCAAACCTCACCCTTCCATTGGGGCATGTGACAGAGCGCCTCCTGCAGGTTTTACAAGGACCCTGTTATTTAATGTTGTGAAGGCCAAGACTATAACAGGGTTCAAAAAAGAACTAGATAAGTTCATGGAGGATAGGTCCATTAATGGCTATTCGCCAGGATGGGCAGGGAGGGTGTCCCTAGCCTCTGTTTGCCAGAAGCTGGGAATGGGTGACAGGGGATGGATCACTTGGTGATTACCTGTTCTGTTCATTCCCTCTGGGGCACCTGGCACTGGTCTCTGTCGGCAGACAGGATATTGGGCTGGATGGACCTTTGGTCTGACCCAGTATGGCCGGTCTTGTATTTAGCACTAAGCTGAGAGCTGGCTCTAGAACCCGCTGTACCAAGAAGCAATTGTGCACAAGCTCAAAAGACTGTTAAAAACCCTGGCCCAACATGATACCTGACCGGCTGCCTAGTACTAGCTGAAGGTGCCCCAGCATCCCTAGGTTGTTAGGTGTTGACTCTTTCTTCTCCCTTAATATTGTGCCCTTAAGATCAAGAGGAAGGGGGTCCTCATAGGACCACCTGTGGCTGCCTTCTTCCGTTCTTTCACAAGGATTCCCCATTGGCTGGATCGAGGGTTTTTAGGGTGTCTCTACACTGCATGCTAAGCCCGGGCTTTGATTCAGGTTTGAGCTCAAGCCCCGCTTCCCCCCTTCGCACCCCCCACAAATCAGTCTGACTCAGGGCAGCAGGCACTCGGCTCCTAGGACCCTGCTAGCAGAGCCCGAGTCCTGCTGTGACTTGGGTCCCAGCCCTGTCATTATGCAGCGTGGATGCAGCTCAAGCCACAGACCTGAGTCAGGTGGTCAGCGTAGCGCAGTATGGACGTGTTAGCACGGCTGGGAGACCCGGTCCAGTAACCGTAAACCCAGGCTTGCAATGCAGCGGGCTGCTCACACATGGGCTTGGAAACACCATAAGCCCAGTTCCCACAGACCCGGGCTCAGTGTGCAGCGTAGACAGACGCTGAGAGCCCCTTTGTGTCACTCTGGCCACTTTACCTGGCATCAAGGGGCTGGAGTGGGGGGTAAGATTCTGACATTTCAGAAGCTCCAAATTTTCTGGGTCCTCCAAAGGAGGCCACCCCACCAGGGGCCTGGCCTGCACACTCCTGGTATTTCTAATGTTAAAACATACGAGAAAGATGACAGCCCTTCAGGTCTTTTCACCTGTCGCAAAGAGGCCCAAGCTCTGGTTTCTTTCCTCTGCAGCTCACCTGTAACATGCACACTCCTGCCCTGCCAAGGCGTTGCATTTTTCAGAGTCAGGGAAACAAGTTCTCCTAGTTCAATTAACGAACGTGTATTTTATCTTCCTCTCTGCCCGATGACTCCTCTACCTTAGCTAGCACTAACCTTCATTCTAGTGAACCAAAGCAGTTTGTCACTAGCCCAGTTTTATTTTCTGAGAAGTCTCTCGTGGAAATCAATGCTGACAGTTTTCTGAGGTCAATTTGTTCATTTCCTTGTATAGAACACAAGGCAAATGGCTCTGTCCTGCCCCTGCTATATGACATGGAGCGCCGCCGGGGGTTTGTTCTTCACCGTAGCCGTGATGAGTCCAGGTTTCTTGTGCATTTGCTGGAGGGCGGCCATGGCTCTAAAGTACTTGTGCTGATAACAGAAAACAAGATCTAGTTATTAAAATGGCGGCGGTTCTTCAGGCCTATAGTTTAGATGCAGAGATGGTTAGGGGAGCCGGCACAAAATTACTTTCACCAGCGTCACGCTTATTTGGAAAAGTCGTCCTCATCAGGAACACGGGAACTGCCAGAGCCACTCCCAGTAACCCAGCTCCAACACAGGCCCGTCCCACCTGATTCAGAAGAAGGGGCAAGAAACCCACTAGTGGGCAGTTATGGGATAACCTGTCCCCAGGGACAGTTTTCTCCTAACCCCCATCAGCTGAGGGTTGGTTTGGGGGTGTTTGGTTTAGAATCCTTACTACTGTAAGCCTGGACATGGCCACTACTGTAACGTGGTGGCCACCACCCAAGCAGCCTGTGGGGCCAGGGGTGCCTCTGCCGTGCTCTGCCCCGTTTCCCCTTCTCCAGGGCTCCTTGAACAAACTCTACACAGCCTCTCAGCCAATCACAGCCCTTCTTGGGGTTTGGTTTCTGTATTAACACAAAGTTGTTAAACGCAACCACAAAAACACATCTTCCACCCTGCCTTAAGCTCCCCGAGGTACTGCCCCTTCCTGCTGCCTGAGCAGATGCAGGGCTTGGCCTGTCTTCTTTGACTTCTCCCAAAGGAAAAACAAAGCTTTCAGCTAGGTTATATTGCCTGGCCCCAACTCCCTGCATGAGACCCTCTCACCCTGCAGCTTCACTCTGCAATTCCCTTTCTAGCTGTGCCCTCACCTCATTAGCGGAGGTGACGGGCAGAAATTCAGAGTTCATCCTGTAGCATACGACCACCAAGCGCCAGCGCCCGGGGTGGGAGAGGGAGCGGTGACCGGGGCTGCAAACAGCTCCTTGTACAGTATAACTGAACAGGAGCCGTTTCAGAGGGTATTGCCGATGCCCCATCCTGCGCATAGGGAGCGTTTACCCCCAACAGAAAATCCTGGCACAGGTTTGCACTACCAGCCTGGCACCGACTCACGCTACCTTCTGATCAGTCTTCATTTTGGCATTGTAGAAAGAGGTGGAATCTGGACAGGCTGGCAGCACCTCCGCCTGCAGCCGGTCAAACCGCTCCTGCTCATCTTCATCCTGGGAGGAAGAGAAGGCGAGAACCCAACTGTCACAGGGTGACTGGCCCCTTGGAGGGGGATTAGGGCCAGCCCCACCTGTGCAGCAGTTAACTGCATCCCAGCCTGAGGGGGGGGACTAAGGGGTCAGGTGTTAGCAGGGTGAACGCCTGGGCCCCAGAACTAAAAGGCTCAAGGAAACACAGTCAGAGACCCTGTGATCAGAACCCCAGGGAAGCCCTGAGATAAGGGGAGGGGAAACCTGCTAAGAAGCAGGGCCTCCGGGGAGAATGCCCCGGGAGGCCGTGCTCCGCCTCAGGAGTGGAGAAGGAACGGTACAGGGCCTGCAAGTAGGGGTGTAGAGCAGGGAAATGCAACATAACCCAAGAGGGGCAGAAGAATCATTGTTTGGACATTTAATTGGATTCTTTAGTTAGACTGCGGTTACCCTGGAATGGGATTGAGCTTTACCTGTGACCTGTCCAGAGGGCTGAATTACCCAGAACAGATAACTGCAGAAACAGATCAGCTGACAAAAGGGGGCGGGGGACAGAGTGGGAAAAGTCCCTGCAATGCTGTGTCCTGACCTGAGGGGGCGCTCTGCTGGTGAATGCACCCCATGATGCCAACCCTGTATGAACAACAAAGGATTAGACAGGAGGCTGCAGAGGTATCTGCGACTGCAAATGAAAGAGTTGATTCTCTTATCAATTAAGGGCAATCTAGATCCTTCACATGAATGGAAGTTAGTCTCCTGTGATACTGCACTCGGATAGTATGATCTTGGGGGCCATATAAGAGGCTAGAAAGACATGGACCGGAGATGAGAGCTCTTCCCCTTTCAGTGCCTGGGGTATACAAGGAACCCTGGGCAGTTTACAGGCAGCCAGTCAGCACCTTAGACTCTGACAGGAGGTTCCGTCATTTCTCTATTGGCCGGCCACACCAGCAGGGGTAGGCAAGGAGCAACTCTTCTCATAGTTGTGCTCTATCGATAGCTACATCCAGGACAACCTGTTCTCCACTGCAGGCTGGAAGATGACATGGGGCTTCTTGGAGCAGAAAAAGGACTAATCTGCAGAGTCTAAAGTCTAATGCCACATGTGCATGGTGGGCTTTGACTCACTGGAGCTGGTGGACAGACACCCACCGATGCGTTTATCTGAACAGCCCTCTCCTTTAATGCCCACCTTCTAAAGTCTCCTTGTCCAGCACGGAGGGCATGAGGACACTGAAGAGAAATGTGCGTTCGAAGGATACCCAGATCTGACAGTGATTGGGAGTGCGTTGGGGTCAGGTCTCAAGTGAGCACCCTCAGGAATATATTTTGTCTTTTCATGAATGGCTTGGAGAACGTGGAAGTCAAGTTCATGAACAATATAAAAGTGGGAGGGTCAGAAATTAGAGGATTAGGCCAAAAGAAACCTGATGAGGTTCAACAAGGACAAGTGCAGAGTCCTGCACTTAGGACCGAAGAATCCCATTCACTGTTACAGACTAGGGACCGAGGGGCTAGGCAGCAGTTCTGCAGAAAAGGACCTAGGGGTTACAGTGGACGAGAAGCTGGATATGAGTCAACAGTGTGCCCTTGTTGCCAAGAAGGCTAACGGCATTTTGGGCTGTATAAGTAGGGGCATTGCCAGCAGATCGAGGGACGTGATCGTTCCCCTTTATTCGACATTGGTGAGGCCTCATCTGGAATACTGTGTCCAGTTTTGGGCCCCACACTACAAGAAGGATGTGGAAAAATTGGAAAGAGTCCAGCGGAGGGCAACAAAAATGATTAGGGGGCTGGAACACATGAGTTATGAGGAGAGGCTGAGGGAACTGGGATTGTTTAGTCTGCAGAAGAGAAGAATGAGGGGGGATTTGATAGCTGCTTTCAACTACCTGAAAGGGGGTTCCAAAGAGGATGGATCTAGACTGTTCTCAGTGGTACCAGATGGCAGAACAAGGAGTAATGGTCTCAAGTTGCAGTGGGGGAGGTTTAGGTTGGATATTAGGAAAAACGTTTTCACTAGGAGGGTGGTGAAGCACTGGAATGGGTTCCCTAGAGAGGTGGTGGAATCTCCTTCCTTAGAGGTTTTTAAGGTCAGGCTTGACAAAGCCCTGGCTGGGATGGTTTAGTTGGGGATTGGTCCTGCTTTGAGCAGGAGGTTGGACTAGATGACCTCCTGAGGTCCCTTCCAACCCTGATCTTCTATGATTCTATTAAATTGGGTGGAGAATGGTCTTAAATCTACAGCATGAATGCCAGAGGGTGACTGGCCCTTTAAAAGGGAGTGGGGGAGGCCAGTGCACCTATGACTGATTACCAGCTGCCCAACTGGGCTAAAGGGAAAGCACTTCAGCCTTATCAAGAGGGACACAGCAGCAGGGGTGAGGGGCTGCCTGCTGAAACCTCCAGGCACAAGGGTAAGGCGAGTGTTTGGGCCTGGTAAGAAGCACCTGGAATCCTGGGCTAGAGAAGAAGCTCGTCTCCAGGGCAGGAGCCCTGAAAAGGCACCAGCTGGGAAAAGATGGCAGGACCTATAGTATTAAAAGACTGTGTTTGAATCCTGGGCTAGGGAGGAAGCTGGTCTCCAGGGAGCGAGCCCTGAGAATGGGTGAATGGGGAGAATTGTAAGGAGGAGAGGCTGCTGTTGTCCGTGGACGCTGGGTTTTAAAACAAGGTAAATCCTCTTGTTTGGGGGAGGGATAAGGTGACACTGTACCAATAAAGAAACTTGGGTTGGGCATAAATGCAGATAATCCTGGTGTAATCCAAATCTGGAAACCCTAATTTCTGGGGGAAACACAGGCACGTAGAGTGCTGCAGAAGCATGCTTGCCCAGAAGGGGGCGCTCCAGGGCATTGGAGCAATGGCATGGAATCATTAAATTAAGATTCAATACAGACAAATGCAAAATGTTTCAAAGTAGGACGAAATGCTCAAATGCACCACTCTAAACCAAAGGGCACAGGCCTGGTGGTGCTCCCACAGAGACAGAGCTGGGGCTTGCTGAATAGAAAAGAATTAATGCAATGCAAAGCAACTGCTGCACTGGGTTGTATTAACAGGGGCATCCGTGTGATGTAAACCTGTAGTATCAAAAGTCAGAGGAAGCTACGAGGCACATTTTACGCACCTTTTGGGCCCGACTCGTAAGGAGGACAAGTAGTCCAGGGTCAGAAACCACTCAGGAAGCCTGTGTGGGGAAAGGTTTTGATTCAAAGTTGGGAGCCCAGAGCTAGAAAACACACTTTAAGGAGGTGTTTGGTGGACGGGACTTTCCGAGATGGTAAACAGCACAGGAGAAGCCAGAACGTCTGAATTGCCAACTCTAGGCTGCATGACCTTAGCTGGTTTTCTCCTTTAAGAGGTGTTGGAAGAGAAGCCCAAAGACTGTCTTCCGGGTGAATCAAGACTAGGGGAGATGAGATGGTCCAACTTCTGAATAGTAGGGCCGCCCGGGGGGGCAAGTGGGGCAATTTGCCCCAGGCCCCGCAGGGGCCCCCACGAGAATGTTGGAGGCTCCCCCCCTGCCTCCGCCTTCCCCCATCCCCCGGTGCCTGAGCGCGCCGCGTCCAGGAGCGGCCCTGGACAGCGCTGCAGCGGCATGGCTCGGGCGGGGCTTGAGCTCCTCCCGCTCAGAGACGCGTGGTAAGGGGGCGGGGCTGCGAGCTGCGGCCGAGCAGCGGGAGCTCAGATCCTGCTGGAGCCACGCCGCTGCAGCGCTGTCCAGGGCTGCTCCTGGACGCGGCGCGCTGAGGCTCTGGGAGAGGGGGGAGGCGGGGGTAAGCGACATGGTAAGGGGCCGGGGGGGTTGGATAAGGGG